TGAGTTGGCACGGGGCGGACAGAACTCATTATAAACTCATTGAACTCATTATAAAACTGCTTATTAAAAACAAACAAGAGAGGAAGGCAACTTAAGGTATTTTTTTTTAACAAAAGAGAGCAGGCATCTTGGGCTATTCAGTTTCTGTGGCGTCCCCTTCACTATGGCCTACTTACCACTCTGGTTTTTATATTGTGAACCATTCTGGAGTTGGGTGGCATCAAAGGCAAAATAAATACGCTTTTGCACTTCCACCCATTGCTCCACTCTCATCATCATCTTGTCTCTCCCTGGTTGACCATTTGGAGTGGTCATTTGGAGTGCAGTCCTCCACTAGAAGAACATCCAAGCACCCGAGGCTCAGACAAAATATGTCATGAGAGAAGGTCAAAGCAAGCCCCAAGATGGCAAGAAAAAGGAGGGGACTTTTTTGGGGGGCAGATGGCCAACTCAGTTGGTTGGCTAGTAGAAAGATTACCCTGCTCTCCCTTCAGTGGAATATTGGAAATTGTGCCTGCAGGTCCTTCATTGCGTAGGGAACTACAAAAATAGTAGAAAGACCATGGGAGAAGTGAAGATTGATGGGCTCCTAAAGTAAAGGCATTGGTGATAAAATTAGAACCAAGATCTTGATCAGATTATTGGAATTAAGTGCTTTAAGGAGAATCAGGTGCCTGGTATTTAAGGTGGTATGATCAAAGGAGGTTGTCCAGAAAGCAAAAAAACACTTCCGCCAGAGATCTGGCCTGATCAACCAGTTTTCAGTCTGATTTTTGAGCCCTTCTTGTTATTGTCTTCTCCTGAAGCATTAAAGAATTGTCACTAGATATTGGTAGTTTAAGTAGAGTTGACAAGCCCTTCTACTGCATTGCCTTAATTAAGTAATTGCCTATATTGTTTTTCACTCCAGGATTGGACCCTGTCTGTCATCACAAAGGTTGGGCTGATTATATCGCTGATCTGCCTATTCTTCTCCATCCTCACCTTCCTGTTCTGCCGTGCCATCCAAGGTATCCGCACCACCATCCACCTCCACCTTTGCCTGTCCCTCTTTGCTGCCCATGTCATCTTCTTGAGCGCTGGGATATCTACCAATACAGTAAGTAACTGGTAAAGATTTTGATTACACACTTGGGGGAGGCATTCTGAGCAAAACAGTTGAGAGAAATAAGTGTACAATCCTCCACTTCATGGGCTGGGTATGGCCAATCCCTTATAATGGTGGATTTAAAAAATAAGTCCATACCTCCCACTTTTAAAATATCATTAAAAATGCATCTCCCTCCTTTAATAGAGAACTTGGGAGAGATTGGAATTGTAGCCCGTGAGTTGACAGTGGGGTGCTAACTCTCTTCCTTCCTACTATCTAAGTTAAATGCCATTGACTTGAACAGGGGAAAGTTGCCTACTTATGGTTTGCCAGCTCCTTCTAAGGTCAATAAGTCCAGTGCAGTTCCTAACATTATCTGTGCTTGTTCCTTCAAGTTTGAAGTGTCTAATAGACCAAACAATGAGGATGCTAAGAGGCACAAGTATTAAGGGGTGCTGTTGTACCTTAAAGGAGTAGGAACAGAGTGCATCCAATTTCTGTTTGAAAATAATTTTCCTGAATATAAATGATGTCCTCCTCTGGGAAGAAGGGTAGTTGAAGACTGGACTGGATTTTAAAACTGCTCCCAGAACACCTTAATCTAATTCTTGTTTCCCTTTTTAGATGGCATGTGTTGTAATTGCTGGATTGCTCCATTATTCCTTCCTCTGCGTCTTCTGTTGGATGCTACTGGAGGGTGTGCAGCTCTACTTAATGGTAGTTCAGGTCTTCAACACACATAGCCTTAAACACTGGCACATCTTCCTTGTGGGATATGGGTTCCCAGCTGTCTTGGTGGGCATCTCCGCTGCCATCAACAGCAAAGGATACAGCAGCAGAAAGTGAGTTCTGAATTTGGGTCCCCATCCACCACCACCATCCCCAGTCATGAGCTAAAGAGTACCTGTGCATTGTGCACTGAAGGTGCAGGATCGGGTAACAGGATCTTGAATACGAATGTGTCACTGTGTTCTCTGGTGCATCTCATGCTGGAATTGCTTGTGAAGTAAAAAGGGCTGAATCACTGGTGGGATTCAAATAATTTAACAACTGGTTCTCTGCCCTAATGATTTCCTCCAACAACCAGTTCACCAAACTGCTCAGAAAGTTTATAACTGGTTCTCCCGATGTGGTGCAAATTGGCTGAATCCCACCACTGGAACCTACCCTGGCCAGCCTTAAGTCCCTATGATATAGACCTCTCTCTCTCACACACACACACACATTCCTGCATGACTTGTAGTGAGCTTTCTTAGGAATGCGAACTTCTAGAGGGGCAGAGGAACAGATCTAAGTGAACTGTCAAAAAAGAAATAAGTCCATTTACCTACAAAATAAATCACCCTCTGTCTTTACACACAGCTGCTGGCTTTCCAGAGAACGTGGGTTCTTGTGGAGCTTCCTGGGACCTGTCTCCTTCATCATCATGGTAATGCTGAATTCATACTCGGGTCTTCTTCCTACCTTCTAATCTCTGCCTTGGGAATCACTTAAATGTTAATTTCTGAACTGTATCCCAGCTTCTGTCTATTATAACTTCTTTTGAAGGCATGTAATTTTGGATGTAGTGGTCTAGTTCCTGCTATATGTCCCTTGATCCATCTCTGTTAGGGACAACTTTTGTCTCCTTTAGAAAAGCCTTCGCCCCAGATCTTACCTGCTTTATCTGATGTCAAATTAAAATGCTTCTCTCCCATCCCCCCCAACATATCTGATATAAATAAACTGACTAAACTGAAACGACTCTTGGTGACTATACAGCTTGCATTTAATTTGTTGAAGCAGAATTCTCTAATTCTAACACTGTCCAGCTTTCAAAAGCTTAATACTCTATCTTTAAGCTTCCATTAAGGAAGCTAGAAAAACTGTGATATTTACGCTAGTGCTCATCTCAAAGCCTGATTATCCTTATCCAATCTTTTCTGCACAGGTCAATGCTGTTGTCTTTCTTATTACTGTCTGGAGGCTTTCCGAGAAGTTTGCTGACATTAACCCTGATTTGACTAAATTGAAAAAGCAGAGGTAAGTAGCCAAGAAAAAGTGATCATCTGTGTCTTAAAAGATCAGGAATTAATAACTGGTGAGATTATAATAATCCCCTTGGATAATAAATGATTTATTTAATAAAATGATTTTCAAAAGCTCCATCTAATATAATCCTAGAGGAGAATTAGGGCATAGGCTGTTACCTAGCCCTGTTTGATGTAATAGATGCCCTCCACATTGTGGTTCCAGGCTAGTCCTCATTACATAAGGTTAAGGACTACAGCAACAGGTGTTAAGTTGTGTCATAAATCTCTTTTCCTACAGGGTGCTCACAATCACAGCCATTGCACAGCTCTGTATTCTAGGCATTACTTGGATCTTTGGCTTGTTTCAGTTCAACAATCAAACCCTCTTCCTGTCTTACCTCTTCACCATCTTTAACAGCCTACAGGGTCTCTTCATCTTCCTCCTGCACTGCGTACTCAAAAAACAGGTACCTATGTTTGTAGAAAAGCAAATATGTTGGGAACCAGCTCAGAGACTGAAATCTCCTGGTCATTTATCTGGGAGTAAAGCACATCATTGAATATGATAGGATATACTGCTCTGCAGACAAGTATAGCATTGCACTATAAGTTGGGCATATAATGTTGGGTGTTGGTACACAAAAAAAAGATTCCAATGTTGATAGGTATCAAGGTGTGTATGTGTGCAAAGCAGGGGAAAGACAGAGATACAAAGACCAGAATTTCCTAAAGTTGTTGTTTGTGTGTCTAGGTGCGTGAAGACTATCACCGCTGGTTGTGCCAGAGCAGACGTGACAAGACTCGGAGTTCTGACAAGTACTCAGATTTCAGTTCCACATCCGGTTCCAACACCTTAAGGGTAAGAGCTGATGAAAGGTTTCCTCCTCCAGATTCCCCCTCTGAGTGTGGAGCTGCCCTGCCATCCTGTTTTGACTTTAAGTCTGGTCATAATGTTCCTCCACTTGGCCCTTTTTGAAACAATCAGGAATCAGACTAACCTGAATCAAAACCTGGAACCTGTCATCCTGTTTTTAGAAGCCATGCAAACCAATCACCAATAATGACTGCTTCTTCTAATGAGGTGCAAGTGGGTGTATTTGATATCTCTCCGGTCGTTTTATATGAATATTTGAGAACATATGTCAGTGTGAAATGAGGGAAAAACATTTGACATAAGGATTAATCTGATCAGAAACCTAGGCCAAGAAAATAGGAAACACACCAAGATCCAGGGAAAGGGATATTCAGCTGACTTAGTGTGGACACAGAGTAAAACTGACCAATCGCACAATATAAGTAGGAATATAGAGGGATCATGATCCCAAGCATTACCGTATCTCAATAGTTTCTGTAGATTACCGACAGGCTAGTTATTAAGGGCTTCTAAATCAAGCAGAATCCAGATCATTTAACCAAAGATTATTAAGTCATATGCCTCACGTTTAAATTGAAGTGATTGGCTGTGTAGTTTGAACTTAGAATTGTTTCCCTGACTGTAGTGCTGCAGACTTCGTATTATTTGCTTTAAAGTTATAGATAAAGGTTGCATTGTCCTATAAATAACTAAGTTAATTGACAGGAAAATGTCCTTCCTTAAAACAGAAGGACTTACAAATCTATTGAAATTCTTGTCTGTTATCAAGAGCTAATGAAATATTTACTCCAGTGGAGGCAAACAATTACTAGATAATGCTAAAGGCTGTCTTTCTTTTCTTCCACAGTCTCCCAAAACTTTGAAAGAATCTGGAATGTAACAACAGTTTTCAGAAATAATGAATTCCAAGAGTGCTGCTTTGCATATAAATGTTTCCAGGGAAAAGATGGGCTGGAAAACAGAACTATTGCCTGCTGATTCAGACCTACTGCAATAAGGACAGTCAAATTGCCAGAAACCTACAAAGGGATCCATCTAGCAAGCTCCGGAACCAGGCCCACCTTAATTTTATATTGGTACAGGACTTCCTCAAATGTTCCCTTTTCTTTCATGCTAAGGCTCTTCTCTCTCAAAGAGAGGATCATTTCTTTTTAAAAGGTACTCCTACATATGACACTTTCATGAAAGATCCTTTCCCTGGACACTGGTTAGGCTTCTGCCTGGCTATTTATTCATCAAAAATTTGAAGTGAATTTTGCATAACAGGTCTGATCTTTTTCATCCAGTCTATGGACAGATCTGATAGCATTTCCCCTTGTGTTTATTAAGTTATTTTCAAGTACAAACCTGTGATTGTCCACAGTACTTATTAAGACAAATAGAAACAGGGATGGTAAATATGCTGTGCCAAGAGTGTTTAAGAAGTTAGGCAAGGCAAGGGACTGGCAAGGATGCTGTAATTGAGGACTGGACAAAGAACTTCACATTATTTTGCTTTGTGTTTACGTTTGTCCAAAAAATAATATAAATTTTGAATTCTGCCCATCAGTGAGATTATAAAGCCAGGTCTAGAGGCCATCCTTTTTTAGGTAGCTAAAACATTTCCCTGGTTCGAATAGCCCTGCACATAAAAGTGTATCTAAATGTAGAAACATAGCATGGTGTAGGCAAAATACAGATCTTTTAAAGAGTGATCTAATTTTTACAAGGCCTTTTATTTATTTTCAATAGAAAACTAAGCCTTCATTGGCAACCTTGCACACTGAGCCAGGCTTAATTAGGTCTAAGTAACCCTATGCTATAAATCTGTTTAAATTATAGTTTGTTTCCATTGCCCAAAGATTTTATAGTTCTGCTTCTTGGTGCATTAAATGTCTGCCACGCTCAAAATTCAGATTCAGCTCAAAAGGCAGATCTAAATAATCTAGCATCTCATGGGCTGCCTCATATCTGACACGTTTGAGTAGAAGCACAGAAATAGAGAAAGAGTTTTCATTTGATGTTGTTTTACTGCTGTTCCCTGGAGTTCTGCATGCAGTAACAAGATGCAATGACAAAAAGGGGTATAGAGTATATAGAGCAATCTCAGTTACAAGAATCCAGGTAATGCTATTTATTCAGACAAGTAGCAACAATTATAAACTTGAGCCAGAGAAAAGGAAAAAGTTTTGGTGGTGTTTTTTTTTATTACCTCGATGAAACACCTCCAGGGAACAGCAGAGCTTTGGTTAGATTAGAAAGTTAAAAGCAATATCTCAAAAGGCAGTGATGGAAAAACTCTTCCATAGTCTTAGAAGAAAACAGTACAAATACAAAATCATCAGGAGTCAAGGATGACTTCAATTTTCCTTTTTAAAAAAATGAAGTTAATGGATTTTTTTCTACACTGGCCATTCCCAGAAAATATTGAAGAACTTCCTGTTTAGACCAATTAGGCTTGAACTGCTTTCAGTATTCCTAACTTTTTTTTTGTAAAATGCTTGGTATTTTTATTTTATGTGTAGCTCAAGTTCCAGGTGTGCCTTATTTGCATGTAAATAGCCAAACACCAGAGTTCACAGCTGATATTTTTCTACTGAATTTTGCTGTCAAAAGTATTCACAGGTTAGACCTAGTCTTTGCATGCACCTTTTATTGTATTGGAATGTGTAAATTTGTACTCGAGGGAGAAATTGGATGGATTCATTTTACTGATGCTTCTACTATTGTCTCTCGGTTTCAGTACTTGCCCTGTCTTGAAATATATTCACTCTAAGAGTGCCTTTAAAGATGTACAATTTTTTTTAAATGCTTCTGTCCAATTACCTACCTACTTTCTTAAAGCATTTCCCCCTCAATCTATGTCTACGTCATTTATGTCAAAATTGAACAGCCCTCTCACAACAGAGAGGGAGGGGTATGATATTATCTATCTTCAGCCTACAATTCAATCTTTTCAACAGTTCCAAGAAGGCTCCACACCCATTTGCAACACTCAGGCAACTCTGACAACATAGATAAAACCTTGAAGTGAACCTTGAATATGACTCTCTAAAAGGATGCAAATGACCACCTGTCTGAAAGGAACATAAATCCTTCCATTCCCCACCGCCCAGTCAGAGCTGAAGAAACTTCTTGGATGAGAAGCAAAATGTCTTCAAAGAAAAACCAGAAAGTTCAGTTGCGTCTTCAAAAAGCACCTTTGGGACAAACTGGATGACTGAGAACCTCCATAATCTCTCTGAATCACACAAGTACAAAGGCTGCGGCAATCCAAGAATACTAGAAAAAGGAAATAGACCACATATACAAATCTTCCAACAAAATGGATATCCATATCAAAAGTGCCTGACCACTCAATCCACCACAGCACAATCAACACAAACTATGAAAAGGATAATGCTGCCTTACAGCAGAAACATCTGAGAAACAAACAGCTATTATAAGCACTTGGAGTGTAGCACACAAATCTACTAAAGCTGTCCAAAACATAAGTAAATCAAATGACCCAGGAGCTCAAGAAGAACAAAAAAACAGATACGTCATCTATATCATACAATTCAAGTACTGTAACAATTATGCCTGTCCATCCTACCATTATATAGAATGGACAGGCAGAAGACTGCAGAGCACATCCATGTACACTAGTGGTGGATTCCGGATCCCGTTGCAACCAGTAGGGTTGCAACGGGGCCCGGCGTGCACCACATGAACATGCAAGCGCGTGTGCACAATGCACGAATGTATACTTACCTCTTGTGTCATCTCCTCGATGCTCCATTGCTTGGCGGAGCGTCGCACAGGAGCTGTGCACTCTGTATGCAAAAGCGCCGAAGAACTCAAATACAGGTAAAGAGTTCGGGTGGGCGGGTGGGCC